CTGGCTACAGTCAGAAGTGCAGGAGGGTGAGAGAATTCACCAGAGCCAGAGCGGGGAGCAGAACAGGCAGACAGAAGGAGGACACTGCTGAGGGGAGCAGCAGGTGGCAGGAGAGGTCTGCGTGCCATGTAGGACCCTCGCCGGCGGCTGGGGATCGAACCGGCGCTGCGGAACCTACGGGAAGCTTCACAACCCAGCGCTCAACCGCTGCGCCACCGGGGAGGCCCCCCCACTAACTCTTTATTCTGTCTGCTATGCTAGCAAATCTTCCTCTTCCCCCACTTCCAAATGAAGATTCACCTTGCATTATGTATTTTATGACCACAGCTCCATCCCTTCTATTTTTCTCACCTTCCGTCTCTCCTTCCCCAGTCCTGTTCCCCACTAACTTCGTGAAACTTGCAAGTTAAATTTTTCAAAGGCTGTTTCTGACAAAGCAGTGGGAATTAGATCTGGTGAAGCCCTTCATAAAAAATTGAAGACACGCTATATTAACATACATTGATTTATTCATAGTGTTTCATTACAAGTAAGTGAGGATCCTGTAATACCAGGAAAGGTTAGGAGAGCAGGGGAGCACGGTATATTATATTGACAGCTCGGTGGAAATTGAGTCGCTTTTGGATTGAATTTGGAGCACAGGGAAGGAATTGGCTAGTAAATAAGGTATGAGTTTTACCTCCCAGTGTCTGTATATCAATGTAGTTGCCACCAGCCTAGGCCGGGGCACTGGAGCAGAATTTCAAAAGGATGCAGAAGCCTGTCTTCACTGGTAGACGAGGGTTAGTTGTTACCAGCAGAGCTCTCTAGATTTCTCCTTTCTGCACCCAAATCTGGGCTGTCTCCGTTTGCTCACCCTCAGTTCTTGCAAGCCTTTTCCCGCCTCCAGGCCTTCTCCCAGACAGTTCTCTCTGCCTGGAGCCCACTTTGCTCTGACTCCATCTAGTCCTCAGGTGCTAGTTCAGTTCTCCCAGGTGCCTCCCTGAGCACTTGTTCTAAATTTGACGTTTCTCAGATGCTGACCTTGAGACAAGGCTTCGGACACTAGTAGATCATTGAGAAATTCAGCAAACACCTGTAACAAGTTAAGGTCTGGGGAAGAAAAAGGAAGTGTGCCAGGGATGGGGGAGTTTTGGAGGCAAGGGACACTGAATCCGCCAGGGAAATTCACTGTGATGTCGCGGGGTGTAGGGTAAATGGAAGTGAGCAGATTTTTTTCCGCCCTCCTGCCATTAGCATCAATAACTGACACCTGTGGTCTTACACACATGCTTGGTGGCGGCCCCTGGAGTGTGGTGTGGGCATGCGTGATTGGGCACACCTGAGTCGAGAGACCGACCCTATATAAGGGCGGCGTCTCAGAAGCAGCCGAGAGCAGAGCGTGGCGGTGGAGGACCGTGTGGCGGGGTGCAGTAGAGACCAGGGAAGAGGCCACAAGAGAAGCCTGAGAGCCCAGAAAGAGTGAAGATTCGCTGGGGGTTGGAAGGCCTGCCAGCCTCCTCCCCCCGGCCTCCCTGCCTGCCCTGCGCCTGGTTGCCTCACGGCAAATGGCGCAGAAAGACCATAAAAGCTGGAAAAAGCCCCCAAGGACTCCAAGAATCTCCTTTTCTTATCTGCTTGGATCATAGAAAACCTGCTCTGTGCCTTGCTGGCACTACCCAGGGGTATCAGGTGAGAGGACCCCCGAGAACTCAAGCCCCCTAGTCCAGCCACTGGGAGTATTAATCACCCAGCACTCCCTGGAGCACCCATGACAAGAGCCCTCAAGCAAAAACAGGTGGGTGTTTATGGACTTGGCTCAGAGAAAGGCTGGGGGGTTGGTGGTGAGAGTGACCAGAGAGGACCCCTTCAGGGACAGGCCTGGTGGGTGCCTCTGCCCAGGTCATGCACCACCGTGTTTCTCCTGACACTCTGCTCCCGGCAAACTTTGGTCTCTCTCCTTGACTCATGGCATAGTCCGACACAGCTACTATTTAATACAGGGAAGAGAAGTAACCTCTTTCGCCAAAACATTAGGTGCCCACAACAGAAGATAGCATTATTATTTTTTTTTAAAGATTTATTTATTTATTTATTTATTTATACAAGCACTGGGCACAGTCAGAAGCTGGGAGGGTGAGAGAATTCACCAGAGCCAGAGCGGGGAGCAGAGCAGGCAGAAGGACCGAAGTACACTGCTGAGGGGAGCAGCGGGCGGCAGGAGAGGTCTGCGCGCCATGTGGGACCCTCCTCCGGTGGCCTGGGAGCAGCCGGGAATCGAACCCGCGCTGCAGAGGCTGCAGGCAACTTCGCAACCCTGCGCTCAACCCTGCACTCAACCGGGGAGGCCCCAGCATTATTTTTTTTTTAAAGTAGAGCTCTGTGCTCTCCTTTCTGCCTGGGTTTGGCCTTCCTCTCAAGTATGGGACCTTCTGATGGTAGACAGTGACGTACGCTGCCTGGATAGTGGACTGCCTCGCTCTGCAAGGCCCTGGAGGGCAGGGTCTCTCTGGCCTCCATTTGGGGCACCCAGCAGCACACTAGGGCCTAGCATATTGGCATGTGCGGGTGTCTTCCCAGGTTTGGGATTTCTAGAACACTCACCACCTCGAAGCAGGGAGGTTTCACTTACAACTCAACTCAGATGTATAGAACTACAATATGAATTTATTGGGGGAATCCACATTGCAATACTATAGACATATAATATAAGTGTCACAATCAAAGGGGGGAGGTAACCAACCTGTTGGCCAAATGTAACCAACCTGTTGGCCAAACCACCCTCTGGAATTGATTGGGTGCTGGTTAATGCAGAATGGCGGGACTGGGTCTGGAGAGCTGCAGTTATCAATCCTGCAAGGAGGAGGCAGCGATGCCACTTCATAGGGCCAGAGTCCCCAGCAGCTCTCACCCAACTCTGGAGGAACTTCAGGACCACAGGCAGAGTCCAGAAGTATCCCAAATTGCCCCAACTTGGTGCCTATATTTATACCACTTTTCAGCATCTTATCTGTATGACCTGTTAATTTTCTTAGGTGGTGCCTCTCCACATAGCCAGGTTTTATCTGTCCTTGGCTTCTGTTTATCAATGTCTTCATAAACCAGTAGTTGATAACTTACTTCTATTGCAGGTGCCCCTCCCTTCCCATCAGTCAGGGTCATTACAATGCCAATGCCCTTAGCAGCTCAGTCTGCCCAGATCATTACTATATTAATATATATGATAGCAGGGAACATCCATGATGGAGCAAATAAGTGAATGAATGAATGCATTCTTCAATTAGTGAAGTGTGCCTCCAGGTGAGGGGGTCCATGAGACTAAAGGGCATAAGTGTTAGAGTCTGGCAGGCCTGGGTTCTGTCCTGTGTCAGTGACAGACTAACCATAGGAATGAACAGTTACAACTGCCAGCATTAATCTCACAAACATCATGTTGAGGAAAGAAATCAGACACTACAGAGTACACTCTATATGATTCCATTTATACCAAGTTCAAACCAGGTAAAAACTGGTCTGTGCTGTTAGAAGTCAGGACAGAACTTGTCCTTAGTACAAGGAGGTAGTTAGACACTGGAAGGGGGTTGGCAGAGCAAGTCTTGGGTCTGCAATTGATTGGGTGCTGGTTAAAGACTGATTCCAATTAGTTTAAAATTCATTGAATTGTTTTGTGTATGTATATTATCCTCTAATAAAACAGTTTTAATGCAACAAACTAGATAAGGAAAAAATCCTACGCTTGCTGCTTTAACAGTTGTGTAATTTAGGAATGCAATACTCAAAGTAGGATGTAGGGGGCTGGTGCTAGGATGCCAAATGTTTTGTTACTTCCAGAGGAGGAAGAACGCAGAAATTGAGGGGGAACCCTTCAAAATGTCAACAGTGACTTGATGGGTGGGTGTGTCTCGTGGCAGAGTATAGACCAGCTTGGTTATTGCCATGCTCACATAATGAGCCATGCAATGCAATCTTTGGATTATGCTGGGTCTGCAGTGGGTTGGGAAACACAACCCTGTTTCTCATCATTATAAATAGTTTGAAAAGCACTGATTTAATGCAAGTTGCTTGCAGTTGAACCTTAGTTTCTCTACCATGAAAATAACTGTCCTGCTATCCCAAGATTTGGAGGAAAGACTAGCAATTAATGCATGAGCCATCAGACAACAAATGCCCTTCATGTGGAGTAGGGGAGCCATGGGCTGCATTCATAACCAGCCTTCTAAATAATTCCTTTTTTAAAGATTTATTTATTTATGCATATAAGAACTGAAGTGTAAGCCAGAGGTGCAGGGAAGTGAGAGGATTCGCCAGAGGCAGAGTGGGGAACAGAACAGGCAGACTGAAATACACTGCTGAGGGGAGCAGTGGGCAAGACAGGAGAGGTCTGCTGTGCCATGTGGGTAGCTCCCTGGCCGGAGATCGTACTTGCGCTGCAGTGGCTGCCGATAGCTTCATAGTGCAGATGCTTAACCCCTTATGCCACCAGGGAGGCCCCTAAATAATTCTTACTGAAATGGTACCCTTGGGTGCTGCTCTACAAAGACACTGGCCAGCATAGTAGTCACTAGCCACACTGGGTTGTTACACTTTTGGATAGTGACTGACTTGAGAAGAGATGTGCTATAAGGGTGAAATGCATAAGAGATTTCTCTTAACATGAATAATATAATATGAAACTTCTCATCCATTTTTTTTTGTTGTTGAGCATACATTGAAAAAATATTTTACATATTTGGGGTTTAATAAGATATTAAAATTAATTTTACTTATTTCTTTCAATGTGACTACTAGAAACTTGAAAAGTCTGGCTATGGCTCAAATTGTGCTTCTATTGCACACTGATGCCCCAGGGCATCAGCAGTTGAATCCTGGAGGTTGGGATCATGTGTAAGGTACACAGCAGAAGCAGAACTTGCTGGTTGAGCTCACATGCCCTCTGTCATGTGCCTCCCCATGTGTCCCCCAATGAGCTTCATCCAGCCCCCTGGGTAAGGTAACTACTACTTTGTTGTCTTGTTCTGCAGATCAACTACAAGGCTGTTGGCTCCCTGGACCCAAGTGCCGATCTGTCCAGCCAGAGGGGGAAAGTGTTCAAACTCCGGAATGAAACCCACCACCTCTTTGTGGGTCTGTACCCAGGGACCACCTACTCCTTCACCATCAAGGCCAGCACAGCAAAGGGCTTTGGACCCCCCGTCACCACTAGGATTGCCACCAAAATTTCAGGTATCTCTCTAAAAAGTGCAAAAGAAGAGGGTATTTTTGTTACCTCCCATTCCTATTTTTCCTGGAAGTGAAGAAGGCAAAGGCAGTTGTCACGGTGTGGTGCTGAGCAATTAGGGTGAGGTGGGCCCAGGGATATTACTCTTGTAGCCTCTTGAAGAAGGCCTAACCCATGAATTTCCTAAAGTGTAAAAAATACCTTAATTAAACTAAACCAGAGACAGTTGCATTAAGTAGTGTAATTTTTTCATGCAAATTGATTTTTAAAAATGTGATTTATTTTAGTGAATATTCCTCTTGGCAGTGCAAGGCACAGCACAGTCTCATTAAGTGTCTGATGAATGAACAAATGGATGTTACTGAACCATGTCATTCCAAAATTTTACCTATTATCACCAGTAGAACCCTCTCCACAATCCACTTCAACATCAAGACAGAATTATTTCAGAACCCTTTTAAAAATTTATATATTTTTGGAAACCTGTGTGATTCTGGTCTGCATACATACATATTTGCATATATACTCATGATGATATTTGTAGCTTAATGTTTTCATTTGTCCTGATACCGTAAACATTCCCCATGCTTTCATTATATTACTTTCATTATAATGTTCTGTCAAGGGGTTGGATGTAATTTAATTAAACATCCCCTTGTGGTTGGATATATTTGGTGCTTCTATGTTCTCAGAAGATAATGCTTCAATAAACAATGTTATAGAATAAAGTTTGATTCTTTACTTTGGATTATAACTTTAGGCTTAAATTCCAGAATTGAAATATTGAATTAAAATGGATGTGGATTTTAATAACTCCCAGTATTCAATGGCTCAAATGGTTCTAGTGACCTTCCCCAGTGATAAGATTAAGACACACTGCTATCCCAGTCCACTGGGGATGAGAGAAGGGAGGGTCTCATGAAAAAAGAAAAAAAGAAAAACAAAAGAGGACCTAGTTCATCACTGCTCTAACTGGACATTGACATGTGCTTGCCACGGTTGACTCAGCATCCACAGCTTTAAGTACTTAAAGCTATGTTTTCTTTGTTGATTCAGTGGGTATGGAACTTTTTGATTCATGAGGGTTTCTGGCCTCGTTTGCTGCAGCTCTCCTGCACAGAGAAAGAGCCCGTGGGTGGGTGGGAAGTCAGGGTCTCCTTCGCTGGAAGTCTAGAATGTCATGTGATGCTCACCTCCCCTTCCCCAAGCCCCCTCTTCCTAGCCATCTTTTTTTTTTTTAATATTTACTTATGCATACAAAAGCTGGGGTATAGGCCAGAGGTGTGGGGGGTGAAAGGATTCACCAGAGACAGAGTGGGGAGCAGAACAGGCAGCTCTCCTGAAATGCACTGCTGAGGGGAGCAGCAGGCAAGTCAGGAGAGGTCTGCTGCGCCATGTGGGTTTCTCCCTGGTCAGGGATTGAACTCGTGCTGTAGTGGCTGTGGACAGCTTCAAGTGCTGCATCTTAACCCCTTGCACCAGCAGGGAGGCTGCTCCTAGGCATCTTGAGTGTCTTCAGGGGAGGATGCCATCAGGGGAGGTGGTGAGTGGGTTTGGGGCCTGCGCTGAGCTCACTTTCTCTCTTTGTCCCGTGCTCAGCTCCATCGATGCCTGAATATGACACAGACACCCCGCTGAATGAAACCGACACGACCATCACGGTAATGCTGAAGCCTGCTCAGTCGCGGGGAGCCCCCGTCAGGTAAGGAGGGTTCGTCACTTGGAATGTGCAGTTTTCCTTCTCTGCACTGTCCTGCCTCCAGTTGAATCAGGCCTCTGGCAATGCCACAGGCGACACTGGCCAGGAGTAGGGCTTCCTGAAAGGAGGTTGAGCAGCTCTAAGCCTGGTGCAGAGAAGCCATTGAGCCAGGGGCCTCATGGGATATTAGGACTGGTTCAGAGGGAACATGGTGACGGTGACCTGAACAGAGCAAGGGAGAAACTTCTGGAACACACCTAGGGCATATTTATTTGGTGGGGTTGGAGGTCTAGAAATGGTCTTCTGGCAAGGTCACCTTTACAGAGTAGATTTAGTCCAGCTGCTCACAGTCATCTGGCTGCTGAGGGGCAACAGAAAGGGTAACTCATGGAAGCCAGCAGAATCAAATGAGAGTAATTATCACCATGTTTTAATGGACAAATACTATGTTCCAAGAATGTGACTTCAAATAACCAGTGAGTAGCAATATCATCTCTTTGTTTGAGGAAACTAAACATTAAGGTCACACAACCAACCAGCCACGGGTCTTCTGAGCAGCCCAAACCAATGTTCTTGGGAAGTCTTTTCAGTTCCCATAAAGAGAAAACCCCTCGCATGTTCCCACGGAGCCCACATAATCTTAATTTGCATATCTGTTTAATAAGCTTAAGCAGCCAAAGATGACAGTAGATTCGAAGGTGAGAATGGAAATGCCCCAGTAGCAGTGAGAGATGACAGTTGACAAGGAGCAAAAAGTAGGACAACTCTATAAAACAGACACAAGAATTCCAGAAACAAGGCAGTCTGATGCCCCAGCCCCTCACAGTCATGGCATTCAGCACGTGTTCCTGCTCTCCCACCCCGCCACCAAATATGACATTTGGTCCATGTCTTCAGGTCAAAAGCCTGCTAGCTTCCACTTAATGAGCTCGTCCCTGCTGTGTGCCTGTCACTGTACATAAACTCGCTGTACCCTCACAGCATTACAATAATAGTCTCCCCATTTTGCATATATAGAAACTGAGATAAACAGAAGCTAATTGAGTTGACCCAGGCCCCGAAATAAGGAAGCGGTACAGGCAGAATTTAAACTCAGTCAGCTGACCTTACACCAACCCTCATTTCATCAGACCACACCACCTCCCTAGGAGAAAGTTGTGTGTGATATATTTGGGTGACATTTCCATTGGAAAAAAGATTTAAACAAATGTCACTGCTCAGAGGGGCAAGGCTTGGTGTCTAGAAATGTCTGGCTGCTTTTCTTCCCAGACTCTGGATCACTGATGGAGGATATACACTCAGTGTCTGGAATTATTTTCAGGCTGCTGCTTGGACATTTGCCAAGAAGGGGAAGGGAATAACCAATGTCACCCAAACAATGCTTTCAGGACAACTGCAATGACAGTGGCAATGTCAATAGATCTCAGCTACTTCCACCCTTTTCCATCTTGAATTCTGGATGCTGGTTTGGGAAATATGGAATATTAGATCATTTGACAAATATTTATTGAGCACTTGCTATGCTTGAGAAACTAGCGAGGCAATGGAGAAATAGCAGGAAACAAGAGACTCTCCGGTCCTTTTGAGGCTTATCATCCAGGAATTGCTCATGTGGGTGGGGCAGGGAGGTTGGCAAAATAATGAAACTGGCAAAGTAAGATAGTAAGGACAGTGACTGTATTGATTGAGAGAAGGATTGGCTGATTAGAGAGAAACTGAGTACAACCTCGGGTCAATGTGGAGTCCTGGGGGAAGCAGGACCACTATGAGGTCACCAAGGCACATTATAGTGGCAGGGCACAGATTGCTCAGCAGGTGACCCAGGAATTGGGTCAAGCATGTCTGGGATCCTACTTTTTTAGTTGATAGTTCCTTACCTACCTTTGTATCATCTGGTCGTCACGCAGCCAGAGCATAAGCTCACTGGGAAATACCATCTGCTTCAGCAGAGGGAGGTGAAGTCCCAAGGTCATGGGATTTGTTACATGCACCCAAAACATGGACCTAGCTTCCTCCCTCTGAGTTTATTGTGCCCCAGGAGGCTCTGAGTTCCCCATGCCTGAATTATCCAGTGATGACTGGGTCACCTTCACATGGGGATGCTATGGAGTAAACCTCCATCAGTTAGGGACTGAGGAATAGACAAGACAATATCTCAGGGGCCCTCCAGCTCTGGATTGTGTGGGTCCAGCCTGTGGCATGTGGACCCAGCACCTCTCTCTCTGAGGGGAACTGCCCATTCTCAAACAGGTTCAGACTCTTCTTAAGCCTCTGTCTCCAGATCCTCTCAGGTAAGCTGTGCTCAGGCTCTGGCTGAGCCCAGTTCCGGCATCTACTCCACCCCTTGCTGCCCCTTTGAAGCCCTGTAGGTGTGATTCAGTCTGTGTGTCCAGAGAGGCCAGGAGGGAATGTCGCTTTGTGGGGCTCCTGTACCCTCATCCCTCCAGCCAAACCACCTCGGCAGCTTGGCCTATTTTTCTAAGACTCCACAATGGAGATTTATTGCTTTTGCATTGCTTTCCCCAGGCCTTCAAAGATTTATTGGTTTTTAAGTGACAGAATCCCAGAATTGCTTAAAAGATCAATCAAATAGTGACTAGAATCTAATATTCAGCTCCGACTCAAACACGCCGAGGCTTCTTCCCCACGCCCCACCTGTCACGCTGATGTATCTGTAGTAACCTTCATCAGAAAGTAACTTGACTGTGAATTAATCTCCACGATGCAGTCCCTGAAGGGAGGCTGGGGGCAGAACCCCCGACCCCACAGCAGACCTTCATTGGGGTCCCCAGCTGGCTTCCTTGGAGACGTCCTTTTCTCCTGCTCCTCGCTTCCATCCGGTCACCGGGACTTGTCCACCCAACTGAAGATTAGCTCCTCCTTCTCCCCCCCTGACACTCTTCACCCTGCTCCCCTCACCTGTGGGGGCAGCTTGCTGCTTTGCCTGTCATAAGTTTCCTCCAGTTCATCCCCCACTGAGCCACTGCAGTGGCCCTTCAGAAGCACAAATTGGATCCAGTTATGTTCCCTGCTTAAAATTCTTAAATGGATCACTGATTTTCTACCACATTAAGTTCCAGCTTCTTAGCATGGAATTCAAAGCCTATCAGAATCTGGCCTTCACCTTCGTTTCTGGCTTTATTTCCTCTCACCCTGCCCTCCTTTACCTGGTTTGACTCGGTAGTGCCCTAGTGTGTCCTTCATCATTCTTGTTTGAAATTTCAATTGTGTGATGCTTTTCTGTGTGTTTTTCCTCTGGTTTTGATCCTCGCCTGCCCCTCGGTAGATTGTGAGAAATCAGGAGGACTGATACTCATGGGTTCCCTTTCTCAGGGGTGGCAGGTAACATTTAATAGGTACTCAAGAAATTAACAAGACCATAACAATTAATTAACCTGCTCACACCTGGTAGATGCCAAGTACCAGGACTGTAGCCATACACTTGTGCTGCTCCCGGTCCTAAGCACACCCTCCTATGGACTTCCTACAGAGATGGAACTGTCTTCTATCTAGCTGTGCTGTCATTATGGTCACCACGAAGCGCATGTGGCTGTTGAGTACTTGGAATATGACTACTGCAACTGAGAACCTACATTTTCTTATTTTTTTAAAAATTATAAAGCTACACATCTCATGGCTACAATTTTCAACAGCGCAGGTCTATAAAGATGAAAAGTAAGAGAAAAAGTACTGATGAGCCCGTGTGCCTGGTCAGAGATTCCAATGAGACTTCAGTGCAGAGGCATCCATCATTAGCCACATCCATCATTAGGTATGGGGAGGACTTCCTGGAGGCAGTGTCTCCTGATCTGAGAATTGCTGCATGAGGGGAGTTTGATAGTGGAAAAGGAAAGAATGTGACCCAGGAGGAAGCAGCCCAGACAGGAGCCTAGGCTGGGAAGGTGTAGTGTGCTTAGGGGATCACAGGGGCCTGGGGCAGAAAAATGGGAAGAGGGGCAAAGGATCAGGCAAAGCAGGCCTTCCCTCTGGGTTTGGACTTGGTCCTGCGGGGCGGTGGGCGCAGGACATTTGTCAGGCAGATGTCCAATATATTGTCCTTGTCTGAGTGGCCAGCCCTCGACTCTGCCACTCTCTCTGCCAAGCATGACCATCTCCACATCTCTAGCATCCAGTCCTGATCTGCTGCACCTGGGGCCATTTCCTGTCCAGTCATAAAACAAATGCATCAGCTCACTGCCGCTGTGCACTGGCCACTCTGTCAGGGACTTAAATATTCACTCTCTCCCAGTTTGTGACCTCCTTGAGGGCAGGAACTGCATCCCAGCAGTGGTACCTGACTGAGAACTGAGAGTTTTTAAGCTCTTTCTGTGACAGTTGACTTTCTGGTTAGATATCCTGGAAGACCAGAGGCTCCTGGAATGAGATCCAACCTTATCCTATTGACTCACTGGGTGACCTTGGGTCAGTTAATTTCTCTAAATCTCAAGCTGCTGATAAAATGGCAACACCCATGTCACAGATTGCTTTGAAGGTCAAGTACACTAATGTGTGTAAAGTGCAAATGGTCTTCACTCAGCTTGTTCTTTGGGTTAGCCATGCTGTTGAGATAAGACACAGCTCCCTGCCCAGGACAGCCATGGAGAGGATTACGTTCTGAGCCCTGCTGTAAGCTGATGTCTGTTTGCTAGGTCTCCCCTACGAACGTGGACGATCCACTGCCTGCTATGTGCTGTCTAGCGGTTCACACGTCAGGGAACACACAGTTATCTCCAAGGGCTTTACAAAATCCTCAAAACAATATCACCTTAGAAATGGATCTCAGATGTGAGCCAAATCAAGCAAACAGGGCTAGCTAGGGTGTCTCAACTTCTGAAAGGCTGGCAAACCCCAGGCTAAAGGTTGGGGCTTGGGGGAGATGCCACTTGATATTGTGAAATGAAAGAGAACCAAATCCAAAGCCATCTAGAGAAGGGTATGGGGGCACACATGAGCTTCCTTAACTGACACTGGGGATGAAAGGGGGCAGATGCTCAACAGTGCAC